CTTTCACTATTGTATGTACTTCAGTGATTTCCTTTCCGTGGATCATTCAGGGATCCTGTGTAACCTTCTCAATTACTGCCTCCAAATAGTTGCCCATTGATACACACTCATTACCCTCATCCTCAGCTCATCTGGGAAAAATAAATGCTCAGCCTACATTGGGAATAGGAAGCATTTCCGCCCATGTTGGTCAGCAAATTACTCATTTGCTCTGATTACATTTTACTCAATTTGTTTTTAATTTTGAGGCCAGAGGTTTGCAAATAGCCTCTTGTGCTGTTTATAGATAGAAATATTTCTGTTTGAATAAGGTGAGTGGGTAACTAGAGTGCCCAAGTGCTGCTGTTGCTGTTTTTCTTTGTCGTCGTCATTACCATTTCTAAAACATTTATTATGCACCTGTGATAGGAGCTTTTGGAGCTGAGTTAAGCCTTGAGAAAAGCAAGAGAGAGATCTGCAACAGCAGCACACTACCTCTTTCTGATTCCAGCCATAAATGACAAAGAGTAAACACATGAGCAAACAAATAATGAACAATACATAAAACAAATACTTTTACATTAGGACGAAAGAAATGGTGGGAAAAAGTATATGCCCAGAGTGGTGAAGTGCTCCTTATGAACACCGCTTGATCTAAATGGGTAGAATTCCAAGAACAACACATCAAGGAAACACATTTTGAAAACCAAATAGTAGCAGTATTCCTCTGGAAAGAAGGTCCACAGAAGACCCCTGGAAAGGTCAGAAAGCTGCCTGCCAGCCTTTTGTAGAATTACATCATGTGGCCCTATGTTGAATCTGAAACAAGGCAAGAAGAGTAGAGGTGCTTTTAATTTTTGACGACACTGAGCTGTCAAAAGGACTAATACCAAAAAATGGGAGAAGTGACGTATTTGCAATCTATAAATTGCATTTCATGTTCATTTGTCACATCTGGGAAAAGCAAATACAGTCTCTTCCTCCTCCCAAAGTGGATGATAAATGATTGCTTAGAGTTGGGTGGCGGGAGCCTGTGTCGCCATTATTGACTTTCTATGGAAAACAATTCATCTGCAGATGCAGTCAGGACAGCATCTGCACACCCTGCAAGGCGTGAGTAAACTGGTTCTAATCACTCATGGGCTGTTCTGAACAAAGAGTAATTACTTTCCTGTTAAAGGCAGTCTCTTGCTCTTGTCTTCACCCTACTCCCCTCCCAGGAGAACAGCAAGGATTTGTTCAGGAGAACTGGGACTCCCAGTGGTGCAGGGATACCCAGGTTGCATTCAGCAGAAGGCAGGACTGAAAAGGACTCACTCATTCATTCATTTATCCATTCATTTATTCTTTTGCAAGGAGATATCAACCTACTACGGAACAAGCTTTGTTCCAGGTAAACAATGACCTCTCTTTTTTAGGGAGCTCACTTTAGGAATATGCAAAACTTGTATTCGTGTCTTTTACAAAGTCCTAAAATTCTGTCTTTCGGATCAAATTCCAGAATACAGAGGATTAAACATAACGAAGTACCTTTTATTCAGAGTCACATGAAGAATCAGAAGAGGGTAGAGGGTCATTTTAAACTAGTAAAAACAGGGATCATTGGGTATGTTTAAGAAACATAATCTATTAATTTTGAAGAGTACTCTCTAATTTGAACTTACCATTTTGAAAATGTTTCCCAGTAGGACACCTTCTTGAAAAGATAGGACTTATTTATTTTTAAACAATATCATCTGTGTCTAAAGACTGCATCACATTTATTACTTGCACTTTTTTGTTTTTCAAGTAGGTTAAACCTTTTCTCTTTAGATTTTCTTAAATTTTTTATTTATTAACTTATTTACGCCCTATAACCTAGAAAATGACAGGACAAAAACCTCAATTCATTTGAAGCAAAATTACTACAGAATTTGAATTTAAGACTAAAGTAATAATGTTTTACTTATTCAATTAACAATAATTCATCACATATTTCCAGCTGTTGCACCAATTGTAATTTAATTAATTTGAAGATTATGATTAATTGGAATACGTTGTATGCAGCGGTGTGTGTTAATGTGTGTGCATTTGTTTGTGTGCTTACGATTCAGTTGAAAATGAATACAGGCCATAATATTAACTGAAAAAAATCAGAATAAAAATCTCAATCTGTGATATGATATATGGAAGTGACCAAAGAAGTAGAAGGCAACACAAACATGGTTTAACTTGGAAGGATAAGGTCACGAACAATTCATTTTTCTTTTGTTTTGAATCCTACCGGAGGTCTTACAAAGTTGTTTGTGCAATAAAAAATGGTTAAACAAAAATGGATCCCGCTTGACCTGTTTGTTTTGAGTAGATTTGGGCAGACATGTGAAAGAGGAACCACTGGAATGCTTGTGTAGTACAGATATAAGTATAAGGCTCAAAGGGGAGTTTCCTACCCTCTTCCATCACTTCCAAAGTGTCAAATTCCCAAATGGAGGGTTTCCATTTGGGCTGTACAGAGAAGGTGGGATTTTGGTATGCCTATTTTTAGTATCTAGAAGAAAAGCTAAGGAAGTCAGTAGTTTTATTTATACAATGTTAAGTATCCATATGTTAGAAAATATTTCCATTATTCTACCACTACCACCCATGATAGGATGCAGAATATCTCATACTGTCTGATCACTTAGAGTATAAATGAATATTAAAGATATTTTAAACAAATGATACATTAAAAATCAGCTATATTCAGGAATATTCTATAGGCCCAGTTTTTAATTTCTTTTTAAATTTTATTTTGATGAAGTAGTCCAGCAGGAGAAGCAGGTGGTGAGATCTATACTCATAGGAAGAGAAGAAAGTGTATTTTGGCTAAAAAGGAAGTAGAAAATCAGAAGGAGAAAAAAAAAATTACCTTTCCTGAGATAATAGGTGCTCTATAAAAGTGAGCCTTTTCATATTATCATGGAAATTACTTTTTGGCAGTGGTGCAAAAAGGTTATTATATATTATTGTTAATTGTGGTTGGAGACACAAAGCAATATGACCATTTGATGGCTTATTTGTTATTCAAAAAATATGACAGCTTTTATGTGCCAATAAATATGAAATCACCTGAAAATATTCCTGTGAATTTAGGAGCCATCTAGATATATGCGCTTAGTGCATACACTAGACTTTAATGACGCCATGTGAGTCTGTGCTTAGCAAATTACCTGATGGGTCCTTGTCAGCCATCCGATGAGGGAACACTGTCTGCTTGGCAAGTGTGAGACAGAGAAACTCAAAATTTTGTCGGAATTTATGGGTGGTGGGCAGAGGCTTCACTAGAACATGGTCCCAGAGGCAATTAGTCTTCAATATTGTGTGTGCTTTTCATCTTGTCGGGAGAGTGGCTGACAGCCTCAGCGTTCCCTTCACCCCACCACATCCTTTCCTCCTCTCTGAGAAGGGGAGGTTGCAAGAACAGCAAGGAACCTTAAACTCATGCCGGTTAACATAAACAGAGTTCAGGCGGAGTGTGCTGGTACGCAACCTCTTGTGCCATTTACAGTGACAGGACACCACTTGCAAAGATGACACTAACTATGCTGAGGTTTTTATATGATTGCCTCCAAATGCTTGAAGAAGCGCCATGTGTTTGCCTGGCACTCTGCTCTCCTGCGACATGACCGACACCCTCTCTCTCTCTGTCTTTCTCTCTCTCTCCTTTTCCTGGGCGTGCAGCATCCTCCGCTGCTAATCTTTAAGCCCCAGGCTGCAGTGATTTTTCTTCATACAGCAACACATTAAGCACATCTTTCATGCTTCCCCGAACCAAATTCAGAGAGTGCCAATTAATAAGTTGATGGGGAGGAAGTCAATGGGCAGCATTAAGGCCACCTGTCTGGAGACATTAGGTGAGCACTTGGACTGAGTGAAAGGAGGCCCACAGAGAGTCGGGAATGAGGTGCTTTATCACACATTCCTGGAGGGATAAAAACGAGAGAATGAAAAGCAGTTTTCAGGGCAGCTCCTGCATCTTGCTGCTATTGTGGATTGTTCACATTGCTCTGACCAAGATAGGCATCCGAATGAGAGAGTGCAAAATACCTGAAGCTGTGAACTTTTACGTGTTTATAGCCTCTTCTACAGTGAAGATTGTGAAGGGCAACCAGTCACTGTTTCAGTGGAACTTCTCTTCCTATCTCCTGAAACTCTTCTGGGCAGCTTTCTAATTCCACGTGACTTTTCTGAAAAGTCTTTCTGTTAATTAATTTATTTATTCATTCATTCATTCATTTGCCAGATATTTATGAAGTGTGTAATACATATTGGGGCTTAGTTTAGCTGCTGGGGATACCCCTATGGAAACATGGACCAATAGCTTTATTTTCACAGAGCTTATGTTCTAGTATATAGATGAGAAGCAAAATAAATAAGTCATATAATAGGTTAGAAGGTGATGAAGTCAGATAAAATAGCCTTTGTAAAATCTCTAGAGAAAGCTTTATAGAGTCCAGATTTTGACTCCAGACTCAGAGAATTAGGCTAAAGGTAGGATGACATTGGGATATTGTTGATGTGGAACAATGGGACTTGAGGTAGGGAAGAAAAAACAATGGACTCCATCCTCTTTCTGTATCCTCCTTTTCCACAACAGAATAGAACCAGTCTTAGCTCTTTTATTGCCCCTGAATGGAGAGTAAACAGGGCACAGTAGGAAGGAGAGTTGAGGTTAAGAGAAAAATGGGAACTCTTCCAGCTTCAGGCAATAACCTTGGAGAGAAAACAAGGAGTCCCACAGAAGGGAATAGAATGCAGTCATCTGTTTTCTCCCCCTTCTTTCCAGTGTCTGCCTCTTTCATTTCTTAGTGAAAACAGTTTTGTAGCATTGGTCCAAGACAGAAGAATAAACCTGACCGAGTCAAGGTCCTTGTTTGGCCGACACTCTCTGCCTACCCCCTGACACCCCCTTGTCCAAACTTTACCTCATTTTTAAGTTTTGTACAGATAGATGTCCACTTAACTTTCTGTTATTTTCTTTCCCCAACTATTCTTTGCTACAGATTATGTTACTCACAGACCCGGAGATTGAGAGCAGCTTGCTGATCAGCTCAGATGAAGGGGCAACCTACCAAAAGTACCGGCTGAATTTCTACATCCAGAGCTTGCTTTTTCACCCCAAGCAAGAGGACTGGATTCTGGCCTACAGTCAAGACCAAAAGGTGAGCGTGCGTACCTTGTTGACACGCTGGTGCATGGTTCTCCAAGGAAAAGAATGTCAGCTCATCATCTCAACCTTTCATCTCAGTGATCATTTTTGTTCGGTTCAGTAGCCTGAAATGTGGGCCAGTGGGACGAGGAGAAACAAGGAGGATCTCAGGTTGCTTAAACCACCTAAACATCTGGAACAGCTTATAAAGTAAAGGTTAGATACTAAGTAAGACATCGTGGAGAAACAGTTCTTAGCATAGATGCTTAAGGCAGTCAGGAGCTGCTAACTCCCGCTGAATTTAAGACAGTGTTTTATGTACGTGGATAGGTGATCATTTCTCTTGATAAAGGACTCACAGCTTTTCTCAGATCCCAAAAGTTTAAGTAAGAACACTAACTAGGGGTTTGCTAAAACAATGAGAGAAATGGCCAGAGGAACAATAATAATGTACATAAATACTATTATTCAGAACCTAGTTACCTCGGGACTTTTCTTCACTTGGAGGAAAGGTTAAAGAAGTCCGCTTGCTAGGAAAGCATTAGATGAGGTCATGCTAGCACATGTGCGTGTGTCCCATAAAATGTCATCCTGTAATATATATTATATATTCGATATTAAATATAATGTGTACTATAAAATACATATAGTCCCTGCCTTTAAGGAACTTACCTTCTCAGGTAGAATACGAGGGTAACAATAGCAAATAAAATTAAATTAAAATTAAAAGAAACAACACATACATAGGCGAATGTGAGAGCAACTCTAGTCATAAAAGCCAAAGGGACAATAGGTGAAATCTTGGAATGTTCTTTGTGAAACACATTGTTCAATGAATTCATTTTGAGAATTCTCTTTGGGGGAATCATGTGTTAGAACTTGCATATATTTAAAGAATACTGGACTTACGTAAGTGAGGAGGATATTCTAGGGTTTTATCTGTCTGGGTTGTTACAGATGCTCGAAGGCAGGGGAATGGTGTGAGCAACTTCTCAAGGTCTCTACTGACATGAGCATTTCTGAGGAAGCAAATTAAAGTTCTTAAGATTGGAGCTTTATTCATGCTTCCCTTAATTTCAAATAAAATGCACATTAAGCCTAAAAATAGAAAGGATTTGCAATTAGTATTTTTTTTCCTCTCGAGCAGCCTGGCTACCCTTTCGGCAGAATGTACAATTTTGTTCCTGGAGTCAAGCCACAGTGCATCTGGTCCAGGAGGGTGCAGTTAACAGCGGTGAGGGCTGAGTGGCTCAGACACAGAGGATTAGTCATTTAATCCACTGGGTTATTGTATTTTATTTGACGGTTAGTTAATTCCCAACCGCCGATACCAGAGGAACAGTGAGGGCCAAATTTACCTGGCTAGGTAAAAGCTATGCATCTTCGCAGTTATGCTGGAGGAGATGACCCAAAATGTAACTACGCAACCCTTCATGTTCCAGCACTTCAGGCTGTGCCTCCCTTGGTCACTGCAGCAGAGTAGACAGCACTGTAGGAGTGCTCCCCACACCTGGGGGGGAGGGCGGTCTCCAACTTAACCACTTGTGAGGAGCAGTATTTAGTGTTGGTTTCCTTTGCCTTAAAAGGTATTTGTGTCGGTAAACATAATTCCAGGTGCGCTTCTAATGTGATTGAAAAAGAAACAAATATTAGACTCTGCATCTGTTTTAAGTGCCATGCATGGTACAGTGTTGCTGTAAAATAACTATATCAAGGAGCTTTCAATCTATCTAGACATAAAAGATTAATACCTGTGAGTTCACCAGTAATCTAAGAGAAGCCAAAAAAGCAGCGCTTTCATTGATGCATAAGACATAGACAAAGTGGCTGGATCAATTACATGAAATTGGTAGCCCAAGTTCAGGAGGTGGAGATCTAGTGCTCTAATTACTCTGGAGGTCTTATGACCTAGACCTTAATGAATATGTTTCTTTTGTTGGGGGGTGGAGGCACATTTTTGACAAAAGGAATGTCATAGATATAAAGTTGGCAAAACCATGTTTGCAGGATTGCACATTTGCCTATTTGCATGAAACTGAAATTTAATGAAACTAATTGTAATACACACGTACACACATAGTTTGCAAATAATCTTGATTTTTTTTTTTTTTTTTACTATTTTGGGTGTTTGATTGTTAGGCAAAATAATTTTTGTTTCCCTACTTAGGAGCCTTTGAAAATTTTGGTCAAAAGACTGATATGTTCACAGCTGTAGATTACAAGAGCTAATCAGTAGTGATATGAGGATATTGCTGTAGTAATATGAGGTCAAAACTAGAAAAACCATTTAGGATGATATAATAGTAGCCCTGACATCAGAGGCTAAGGGTCTGGATGAAAAGGTATTTTTTGTGAGCGTAGACCCCATGAATACTGTCATTTTAGAGATGTAAGAAGCCTTATCAATTTTTGTTCTGTATAAAGCTAAGGATCCAAATATCTGAGAGGTTAATAAATTTTCTCAAAGGGAAAATAACTAATTGTAGATGTTCTTTGAAAGAGATAAAGCTCTCCCTGAAATTCGGTAGGGTTCTCATTCTCGAGGGTGATATTTTGAGGTGAACAGATGGGCAGAAACCAGCCTTTCTGTTGACCTTTCGGTTTCTCCAAGAAAGAAGGAAGGATAAATCATCCGGGAAAAGAAAAAAAAAATATATGGATAACCTGCTGTGCGAGCAGGGAGCAGAGAAGACCTTCCTACCTCAGGGCTTGAATCCCAGAATGAGGAGTAGAGCATTAGCTGGAAGGGAGTGGGCTGCAGCCATCAGATGAGGCTTTAGCTGATGGCATTGACTGGAAGTCTTTAAGTTGAGAGGGGCTGTGGCTGCTCAGGTGGGTCAGTGATATGGAAATAATAGCTGTGGTCACTGCATGGATGGTGGGGCTTTTGGCACTGGTGAGATGCAGCTGGGGGCAACAGGAGGCTCCTGTGCTGGTGTTGTCTGGCCAGTGATTGTATTTGCCTAGGCAATGGGAACATTCATTTTTTTAATGTCAGTATTGCTCATCACTTTTTCTGTGTCAGCCACTAATGCTGGTGCTGCAGTTCTCCCAGCTAAGATCACTCTGCTGGATGCTGTTGTACATCAAACCCTGGTGAACAATCCTCGATAAAGGTCTTTTGGAAAATACCTCGTGGGGGTGGCAGCTCCTTCAGAACTTACCTGTGAACAGAGTCCTGCTCTCTTTTCTTTTTCTTTGTTTGCTGTCTTCTTTGTCTTTTAAGGCAGACTGTCCCTCTTTTGAACACATAGCCCCACATTTATTTTTCCCTTATTTCTCTGACATTGCTTTTTCTCTCCTTCAATGAATGAGACTTTTAAGGCCCTGAGGACAGATTTTGGATCTCTGGCCTGCAGGATAGAGCCATATGGGCTGTGGAGCTCTGCTCTGTTTTTCTTCTTGGATGCCTCAACACCACATGAAGGTCTTGTGATGTGAGCATTGTAAGAGACTCAAAGAGTTTTGCTGAGCAGATTGTCCTTTCTGGCCCCAGATAGAATTTTACTGGCCATCAGTTCCATGGGAGGACATATTTTAAAAAGAAAAATGTGGCTTTTATTCAGAGAGAAATGTGTGTAGCCAAATGTCCTCAGAATTCTCAAAACCAGGATATTTTGATGCCTTAGTCTTTTTATTTAGAAGGAGAAATTTATTTTTTATATTGAATATATAGGTAGTTATATTAATCAGGGTTCTCCAGTGAATCAGAGACAGAGAGAGAGAGAGGAGGTATTAATGAATTGGCCTACACAATTATGGAGTCTGATAAATTCTAAGATCTGCCATATGAAAGCTGGACAACAAAAAATGCCAGTGGTGTAATTCAGTCCAGGCCTGAGAACTGGGTGGGGACGGGGCCAATGGAGTAAGTCCTAGTAAGCCCAAAGGCCTGAGAGAGAACCAGGAACTCCGATGTCTGAGAGCAGAAGGAGATGGATGTCCCAGCTCAAGAAGAAAGTGAGTTCACCCTTCCTCTGCCTTTTTGTTCCATTCCAGATCTCAAAGGATTGGATGATGCCTTCCCACTTTGGGGAGAGTGGATCTTCTCAGTCTACTGATTCAAATGCTAGTATCTCTGGGAGACTCTCACAGACACACGCAGGAATAAGTTTTACCAGCATTCCTTAGCTCAGTCAAATTGACACTTAGAATGAACCATCACAGTGGCTGCCAAGAGGCAAACACTCTCTTGAATGGGCATGTGGCCATCCAGGCACCACTAGAATGACTGAAGGGAAAAGGTGTGGAGCCTTTTGCTCCTTGAAGTTCTTAAAGAAATAGCCTGTCTGCTTAGGAAACCCTACCGTCAGACTTACCCAGCATAGAAATAGAAGCTAGACTGCCTGGCCTCTGATGGGTCTATGTGAGAATGTCTCTTTGGAAAGCCCTGAAATTTTCAGAACAATGAACATTCTAGACATTATAGAAATTCCATGTAAACAGACAGAGGGATACTGGTTGTATAAAGTTCCACCCCTTAGACTTCTTGCAACAGTGAATCACTATGGACAGTATGAAGAATTCTATGGCATTTATTTATTTGGAGTGCCAAAATCTTGCTTTCCTTTATTATTTTACTCTTTATTTCTGTAACTTAAGCGGTAGGCAAACCAAGCATTCCGCTTATTATTATTAATTTTTTAAATTTCTTTGTGTTTAGAAATGGAGCAGATAGCAGAAAGGAGATGCAGCCCTTTACTCCGTTGCTAGTTTCCCTGTACTTTCTCGCCTCAGTACAGGAAACCACCCAACAAAGGCTTAGCAGCAGGCCGAGTCTGCTAGATTACATCTTTATTTTAATTTGGCAATAAACTAGTGTACAAACTGTGCTATAAAACATTGCCTCCAACGGCATCTCTCAGTCTGTCTTAAACACCTCACTAAACATGATGTGTTGGAAAACATTTGAAATGAGAGAAAACAAAGAGCAGATGTGGCTGTAAGGAAATAAAAAAACAGGAGAAAAGTATAAGAATATGCGTATGCCTTGAGCTTTGCCGACTATGCTGA